TATGCTATGCCATGCTATGCTATGCCATGCTATGCTATGCTATGCTATGCTATGCTATGCCATGCTATGCTATGCTATGCTATGCTATGCTATGCTATGCTATGCTATGCCATGATATGAAATGATATGCTATCATATGACTATGCTAATCTATTCTGTGCTATAAGATATGTTATGCCATGCTATGATATGTTTTTAGTGTTGTTATTAAAGTATAATGTGAAAACATATTTGCATCATAAATATAAACATAAAATGTATTTTTGTATAAAAATGTGAATGCTAATGTTGACTTTGTTGTTAGGAGTAAAATGAATGAGTTGACCACGGAGACCAGCAAACTTCACAAAGAGATTGAGAACTACAACCAGGAGAACTCTGTCTACCTTTCTTATGACAAGAAGTAAGTAGTTTTTTTGTTCAATAATGAGTCTTTATGTTGGTTAAAATATAAAGGATGACAATTAGAGAATTGCACATTTTACCACATCTAAAAATGTGCTCATTACTAAACCTTTCCTGCCTTGTTTTCACTGCAGAGCTGAGAGCCTGGCTTCAGAGATTAAGGATCTGCAAGGCCAACTTGCTGACTACAACATGGTGAGCTGTTGTAGTTTGGTAGATGTAGTCAAACAGTCAGGAAGAAACAAAATCTATCTTCTTTCAGTTGTAGAGTTTTATGAACGAGGACATAATAAACATCATCTAGGTCTTATGTTTATAAATTTTCTTAAACTAACCTGAAGTATAGAGAAACACACAACAGATTCCACCATGTCATTATTTATTAAACTAAAACAAAGCAAAGTGAAAGAGTTGTGTGTGGAAAAACTAAGTACAACTTGGCTGCTTACATAAGATTTAGGCTAATCTACTGCACCTAATGAACTGATTATCAGACCTTATGTGAGTATCAGACACCACTGGATCGGTCATGCTGATAATTTTGACTTTAATTTTTCATGTTTGTGTGAAATGTATTTTCAGCTGGTGGACAAACTCAACACTAACACAGAGATGGAGGAAATGATTAATGACTACCACTTGGTGAATATGTCCTATAAATAATGTTAAAGTGGTTCAATGCAAGCTGAGCAGTTAATTACAAATATATTAACCACTTCCTCTCAGTGTTATCAGTATTGTTTATCTCCTCTCAGATCAAAGCACAGAATGACAGCGAAGCACAAAGTATTGACAGGATCTTCACTGAGAGACAAGAGTAAGTATTGTTCAGTTTATCACACTAGGTTTTACCAACCAGTCAAATGACTGGTGACCAAAAGTGACCATTACTGAGCTTGGCCAGAGAAAATTCTATCTGAAAAACAAAAATCCCTTTTTTATTTCTGGTCTGTAGACATGCTAAAGCTGAGCAGGAATCAAAACAAATGTTTTTCCCAGTCCTTGATTGCATCATAGGTTACATCACTAGGATTATATTGTTGGTGTGGACCCCAGGAAGAATAGTCTGCTATCATGGAGATTAATTCTTTATATAAATAAATAATATCACAGCTTTCACTAATTTGGACTAATAAAAGAAAATCTTTGTAGAAGTTCTCACTGAGTGAGACCACTCAGAGTTAGCAGTTTGTGATCTTTGTAAGGTGATAAATTAAAGTCAAGAAGTACGTGAGATTTACAGTACAGGGCTTTAAAAACCAATGTTTCTTTATTATCATACTGCAAGACATTTGTTTATTACAATTCCTTAGCTACACCTTATTTAGCCTTACTTAGTCATTATTAAGTAGTTAGTTAACATAGAAAACACAATTAACTCAGGAGGATTTATATTAAAAAAGCTAAAAAATAAAAACACTTTTATTCCAGTATCATTTATATATTATTCCTGCACATTTTGGAGCATTTTGGAACAGTTAGGCAAATGAAAGATTTCCAAGGTGGCACTGCTTCATCATCGGTTATGTATTCTCCAAGTGGAGCACAGAGTAGATGAAGTAGCAGTAATATTCTTTACTGAATGCTCTCTGGCATCTGTTCTTGGTGTCTCTCATCTGTGCCCTCAGTGTATTGCTCATGCCTTCCTGACACTCGTGAAATAGGAATTCTAAACTCTGTCTGCTGTCCTGCATGCTTGGTCTGCAGGAGGGAGGAGGAAATCAGGGCAGTTGAAGAGGAGATTAGGAGGGAAAGGTGGGCTGCCGAAGAAGTCATCCAGGCAATGCCTGCTGCAGATCAGAAGAGGTATTTCAGTATGACAACAGAAAATGAAGAACTGCTGCAGGTGCGTGGGCTTGGTTTGACTCTAATGGTGATAAAAAAAATTGAATATAGTTTAATGTATTTTTTTTTTTTTGCTTTACTTTTTGCTTTGTTTTGTTTTATATGTTGTTAGGAACTAACTGTCCTTCAGGAAGAGCTGGACATTCTAGTAACCAAGAAGAAAGACTATGAAGCAGTAAGTTCTTTAAGGGCTAAGTTAACGTGTGAAAACAGGCATGAATGAGAGGACAATAAAGACAAAATAAAAAATGAAATCAATACAGCTTTGTTTTTTTTTTAATCCAGGAGCTGTCCCACTCACAGACTAAACAGTTAGTAGTCCGTCTTCATGACGTTCTGTCAGAACTGGAAGCAAATCGTGATTCCTTGGAGGCAGAGCTGAAGAGCAAGGATTCCCCCAAAGAAGAGAGAGAGAAGCTGCTTAAGCAGGTAAAGTCCCAATCAGAAAGACACGACACAAAACACAAGATTGAAAAGGTTTTACGTCATTGCTAAACTTGAAAAAGTACAGTCTGCAGTTTTTAAAGTGGGAAAATACGGAACGCACATGATCCGAAACTACCTCATTTGTCTTGATGTACACCACAAAGTACATTTTTTAAATCTGAAAAATGTATTAGAAATGCAGACATTTTGTTTGTAAGCTCTCCCAGTGAACAATGACCCAGCTGAACTTTGAATCGTCTTGGAGAAAACTTTGTGAGAGCACTCGTCAGTAGAGCACCGAGACCACGACAGTGTTCAAATATTCATTTAGAGACAACAGAAACTACAAATAACTGGAAAATATAGTCCAATAATGCAAGGATGGGAAAGAGGAAAGTCACACAGAAACAAAGGTGCCCTCTGGGCCGTCAGCGTATTTCCAGAAATGAATTACAGATTAGTCCTCACCTCCACATACAGTAGCTGTGCTTTGATGACTTTTAAATATCTTTGTTACTGATTCTCATCTTTGACACAAATACATAAATCGAGAAATTCCAAGTGATTTAAAGGGTCAATATTGTGTGTTTCTCAGGCAAATATTTAAATACTATACCATAATAAAGTATCTATGTCACCTTTAGCTGTTATTAAAATACTGTTTTTATGTTTAAATAGAAAATAAACTTATCTTCTCATCACTTCCTCTTCTAAACSCCTTGAAATTGGCCTCTGTCTCTTTAAGAACCACCTTCCGCTTCTGTCCCACCCATTTCAATGCGGGACGGGGGGGGGGGGGGCTTCTGTGCGAGTGTGCTATGATGCAGTTTACTTGGCATCTGAAAATACATTTCCTCAAAGGTATTTTGAATCTGAAAAGAGCTGAGTGAGAACTAAATGTTGAGAAATTATGTTTAGCAGACAGCTAAGTTTCACTTTCGCTTTCACCCGGGAGCCTGCAGAGTCATGGGCAGGGTAGGTGGGGAGGGAGGGGTGAGGGGGTGCGCTCTGCCATGAGGAAGTTTGGCTTAAAGACACGTCCCAGAGGTGTTTCTGGTCCCCACCTGTCGTTTTGCTCCTCAGCATGGCTTCATAAAAACACTGCAGGATTTCTCAAACATGCATGAATGAGTCAGAGCAAGGCTTTGGACATGTTTTTTTATGAGAGTATAACATTATAACATGATATCAAACTCAAAAAGTTGGTTTTACATGATATTGCCCCTTTAACTGCTTAGTCGTGTTAACTGGATGTTCTGTATGAAAGTCTTGCTTTGTTCCCAGGTAAAGGAGGACAATCAGGAAATAGCCAGCATGGAGAGACAGTATGTATTCTTACTGTTAACTGTTTGTTACTGTGAAGCTCAGATGTGTCTGTGAAATGATGGCTTCTGTGTGCCCACTCAGGCTTACTGAGGTCATGGACAGGAGGAAACAAGTCATGGAGGAAATTCAACACCTCGAGCAGGACTCCGAGGCAACGCAAGGTACCGATTTTCTCTTCTCTGTTTTTAAACAATTATTTGAGCATTTAGCTGCATCTTTATAAACCTCCCTTTTTTGTCATGTTAGCTTCATATCCCTGCTTTCACATCTGCTTAGTTATAGTTCTAAAGTCATGGGAAAAATGTTCATCCTCTTTCAGTTTTAGGGTTTTACGTCTCACAACATAAAATGAGCTTGTAAAAAACTCTTAAGTGATGAGGTTTTCTCTTAGCAACCCTTGAAACGAGCCTTACCTGTTCAGCCTTTTTCAACTTGTCTTGTTATAACTTTTAACCTTTGATCTGCTAGCTGAGGCCTTTAGAATCTGAGATGTTTCTCTTGGGTTTTTTTTTTACATTTTCTCTGTGCATGGCACAGCCCAACCTTGGGCTGAGGTTTCCCTGCCACTTCCTGGTAAAGTCACTCATTGCAAATGATGAAATACTGTAAAACATTTTAAAATAGCTGTTTTGAACTCTGTCAAATGTTAATCAAAATACTTCAGTAGTTTTACCAGAAATGTTGTACAATTCTGAAAAGCATTCAAGGATTTGATCAACAAATCTCAGCATAAATACAGTAGACTATGTACTAATATATTAAAACTGATCCATAGATCCATTGTTGACCTGTTTTCAGTCACTTTGGCTGTTTCCATAGATAAACAAGCACACAGCTGGCAGCTCTTCTCACGTTTTCATTTCAACTCTCTGATTAAGGACATGAAGCATCCAAACAAGAAAAGAATTGTTTGGATTTTGTTTTTTACTTTATGAAGTTTTTTACAGGTTTTCGTGTCGTTGGAAGAAGTAACTTTCAATATTTCCCACCTGTGAACAATTGTTTTAATGTAGAAAAATGTTTTTTTTTTCCACATTGATGGACAGCAAAACTTGTACAAGACTGGTTGTTGTTCCATTCTGTAATAGGTGGAAATTTAAATAATTTTAGGGCCTAGTAAGTTCCAGATAATTTTCATTATTATACTGTATGTGTGTTTACTATGAAAAACCCTTAAGTGAGTCGGTGGATTTTCTTTTTCTTATGATCCCAAGATAATTCATATAATTTTGCTTCAGCTGAAACATCAGCCAGCACTTTGATTGTGATTTATTAAATAACTGCCTTTTTTGTGTTTTTATAAGGGGAGTGTCAGCAGAAATACAAGGAGTTGAAAAAGAAAGAGGAAGAAATCGACCGTGAGTACAAGTAAAACAATACAATGATGAATGAAAGTTATCTCCACGCATACATGTAATCAGTATGTGCAGTACAGCAGCTGATATCTGAGTTTCATTTTAAAGTTTAGCTGCTTTTCTTCAGCAAATCCCACAAAAAGGCATGAAAGGATTGAGATGTGAAGAATTAGGAACCTTGAAGTCTTTCTGATCAAAACATTTCATCATACATTTTAAAACTTTTTTTTTTGGTACTATATTTTGCAGAATTGTGCCAGTAGCACACATTCCTATATTTAGTTTTGGTGCAAATTAAAACAGAGTGTTTACATTCATTTCAGGCTAAAAGTCAAGCATGTGCATAAACATATAATTTTGCAATAACTGACATTTATTAAAGAATACGTCTTTATGTCTGAGAAAAAAACTATGAACTAGTGTTATGATACCAAACTTTCAAACTTGATCTTGATTTTAAAGAAAATAGTCAGTACAGTTTGAATACTGTCATGAGAAAACTAATAACTAAAAGCCTAAAAAAACATAAATAAATGTTTTTCCTGTACAACTCTGGTGCTCATAAATAAAACTTTGTAAGAGCATGAGATAATTGTTTCTGCCAAGTCAAGCTTGTAAGTAAAATAGAAGCCATTCTGCAATAACTTGATGTCACAGGGAAGTTGATGCACAACACTTTTTTTTGTGGATGGTGCCAACCAGCGCTCACAGTGCACACCTCCACCAAGACCTAGAGGATGTAAATGAGAGCGTGCAGTCGCTGAGCTGTGATTGGTGGAACAAAGTAGGGTTGCACCGATAAATCAGCTGGCCGATTTATCAGCACCAGTTTCCCATATTTTGAGAGATCGGAGTCCGGCTGATACTTTAGATAAGATCAGTGGAAAAGATCGACTTCTCTACCTCCACAAAGATCTGAAAATCAGCCACTGTCCCCTTTTTTTCTCTGCTGTGAGCACTACCTAATGTCCAGTTAAACATGTTTGTGTTGTTTCAGTTTTTATCAATAAAATAAAATTAGAACATTGAAGATATATTGTGACCCAACACTTGACAGTGTCAGTTTTTTAAAAAAATTTGCCAAAATTGGACTCAACAGGTCAGACTTTTCAAAGATCTGTGATTGGCCAGGAAACTGCAATCGGTGCACCCCCGGAACAAAGTTGTGCTGGATGCTGATTGGCTGTCATAACATGCCATCATCTCTATTCATAGTATGAGATTGTCACTAAAAAAGCACCCTCCGACTCTGTTTTAAATTTGTTTCTGTTTGTGCCAGAACACAGCCAGATCGCCACCAAAATTGAATTATTTGTTCTTTGTGACAACCCCAAAATGCCCTGAAAATTTTATGAAAATTGATCCATAACTTTAAGTAATCCTTTGTAGAGACAGATGGACAGAAAGCAAACCTACGGTACAGAAACATAGCCTCCTTGGCAGAGGTAATTAGATGAGCTGTTTCAGGGTTTCTGCAGGGCATTAAAAAGCATTACCTTTGAATCTTAATTACATTAATACAGTGGTTTGCAAAAGTATTCATACCCCTTGAACTTTTCCATATTTTGTCACATTACAACCACAAACATAAATATATTTCACTGGAATTTAATGTGAAAGACCAACACAAAGTGGTATACAATTGTGAAGTGGAAGCAAAATTTTACATGAATCAAAACATTTTTTACAAATAAAAAACTGAAAAGTGCGATGTGCAAAATTATTCAGCCCCCCTGAGTCAATACTTTGTGGAGCCACCTTTTGCTGCACTTACAGCTGCAAGTCTTTTAGGGTATGTCTCCACCAGCTTTGCACATCTAGTGACTGCAATTCTTGCCCATTCCTCCTTGCAAAACAGCTCAAGCTCAGTCAGATTGGATGGAGAGCGTTTGTGAACAGCAGTTTTGAGATCTTGCCACAAATTCTCAATTGGGTTTAGGTCTGGACTTTGACTGGGCCATTCTAACACATGAATATTCTTTTTTTTAAACCACTCCATTGTAGCTTTGGCTTTATGTTTAGGGTCGTTGTCCTGCTGGAAGGTGAACCTCCGCCCCAGTCTCAAATCTTTTGCTGACTCCAACAGGTTTTCTTCCAAGATTGCCCTGTATTTGGCTCCATCCATCTTCCCATCAACTTTGACCAACTTCCCGGTCCCTGCTGAAGAGAAGCACCCCCAGAGCATGATGCTGCCACCACCATATTTGACAGTGGGGATGGTGTTTTCAGAGTGATGTGCAGTGTTCTTTCTCCGCCACACATAGCGTTTTGCATTGTGGCCAAAAAGTTCAATTTTGGTCTCGTCTGACCAAAGCACCTTCTTCCACATGTTTGCTGTGTCCTCAACATGGCTTCTGGCAAACTGCAAACGGGACTTCTTATGGTTTTCTTTTAACAATGGCTTTCTCCTTGCCACTCTTCCATAAAGACCACATTTGTGTAGTGCACGACTAATTGTTGTCCTGTGGACAGTTTCCCCCACCTGAGCTGTGGCTCTCTGCATTTCATCCAGAGTCACCATGGGCCTCTTGGCTGCCTCTCTGATCAGTGATCTCCTTGTTCGGCCTGTAAGTTTAGGTGGACGGCCTTGTCTTGGCAGGTTTACTGTGGTGCCATACTCTTTCCATTTCCGGATGATGGATTGAACAGTGCTCCGTGAGATGTTCAAAGCTTGGGAAATCTTTTTATAACCTAAGCCTGCTTTAAACTTCTCCAAAACCATATTCCTAACCTGTCTGGTGTGTTCTTTGGACTTCATGATGCTGTTTGCTCCCCAATATTCTCTTAACCAACATCTGAGGCCGTCACGGAGCAGCTGTATTTGTACTGAGATTAGATTACACACAGGTGGACCCTTTTGAGTCATTAGCAGTCATCAGGCAACTTCTGAATGCAATTGGTTGCACTAGGGAAAAGGGGGCTGAATACTTTTGCACGTCGYACTTTTCAGTTTTTTATTTGTAAAAAATGTTTTGATTCATGTAAAATTTTGCTTCCACTTCACAATTGTATACCACTTTGTGTTGGTCTTTCACATTAAATTCCAGTGAAATATATTTATGTTTGTGGTTGTAATGTGACAAAATATGGAAAAGTTCAAGGGGTATGAATACTTTTGCAAACCACTGTATCTTTAGATGTTTAAAGAAAAATAAGGTGTGATGAGTGATTTAGAAAATTGGTCAATATACTTATTAAGACAATACATGTGCTGTGGTTACTAAACTTTTTCTGATGGGCCTCCCTCAGAGAATGGAAGTTGTCTGTGCACCCACAAACCCCAGAACAAAAGTGTAACAATGGATCAAGTGCCAGGTTTAGAGGGTGGATCAGATCCAGAATGCAGACAGACATGAGGACTTCATGAAAACAACAATGAACTTTATTATAGCAAAACAAAAAGGCTGCAGCGGCAGCATCTATCAGATATACACAAGGTAAAAAGCCCAGGAGGAAACCTGACTGTGGCATTACACCAACACTCTAGAGCTGTTGTGACAATGATGATACACAATATATGTAGATGTATACAACTAACTGAGGACAAGTTCCACAGTGATGGTCTGCCAAAACTATTAGCTGATGCAAGAGAACTCACAGCCTGTTTTAATAAACAATAAACTGATAAAAAGTTTAGTGTAAGTAACAGCTGTGGGTCAGAGGTAAAGTCAGGTAGCTGAATGAGAGCGGAACAGGGAGTGTGTGTCTGTAACACAGCTGCCAAAGTGTGTGTGTAACAACTGGACCAGATGGAGACGACACTGCTGCTTTCAATATGTGAAAAAGTAGAATCAAAATAAATAAGTCATATATAATAGTTTTATTTTGGGCAACACTTTTATGTCCATTACTTTTATGTGCACACAAAGTTGTATTACTGCAACTACACACAGAGTTGTATTCCTGTAACTACACACAGAGTTGTATTCCTGTAACTACACACAGAGGTGTATTCCTGTAACTACACACACAGTTGTATTCCTGTAACTACACACACAGTTGTATTCCTGTAACTACACACAGAGTTGTATTCCTGTAACTACACACAGAGTTGTATTCCTGTAACTACACAGAGTTGTATTCCTGTAACTACACAGAGAGTTGTATTCCTGTAACTACACACAGAGGTGTATTCCTGTAACTACACAGAGAGTTGTATTCCTGTAACTACACACAGAGGTGTATTCCTGTAACTACACACAGAGTTCAGTCAGCTCCCTGAGCCGATGTGATTTTTACTGTTTCAGAGTTTCTGGAGTCATTTCAGGACTTGAAGGTTCAGGAGCTGAATAAACTGACTGAGTGTGAAGAAAACATTGTTTCCATTCTGGAGCACTGTAGCAGGGTGAGTAAAACAGGACAAAGTCGATTATCTAAGGACAATAAATGTTTTAAATACCTGGAAAATTGAGTAGTTGAGACAGTTATGTACAATCATTGGAAAGCTCAAGTTCAACCTTTTATAAATTCTGTGGTTTTACACATCTGGACGTAATAAGAAAAAATCTGGGGCCTCATTCATAAAGGATTGCATAGGATTCATACTAAAAGTGAACGTACGGCCAAAAGACAAAAATGGCTTACGCCCAAAAACTTCAGATTTATAAAACTGCACACCTTCAAGCAATTTTCTTTTATAGATCACAGCTGCACCTCAGAGTTTGAGCACAAGGTCCCACTGCAGGTTCTGCCCTCTACACGCCCACACTCAACCATAAACAGTCAAAGCAAAGAACCTCATGAATGTTGAGGTGCATTTCAGTGAGTCAGCTGATCAGTGTCAACAAGAGTGATTGGCTCATACACGCTCCGTCGTGTCTGTTGATGTGAGCAGTCTTCAGCAGCCGTCCTACTCCAGATTTTTCGTAATTTACACAGATTTTCCTTCATTCTGCAGATACAGACGTTTAGAGCAATCTTACAAATTTTTCAAAAACTCAGCTTCAAATTTTTTACTAGTTCCCCCTCACTATACATTTGGGTTTACCAGGTCTGTCCAGCAGCCTCCCCTGTCACCAGATCCAACTCACCACCAGGTGGTGATCAGTTCACAGCTCTGCCCCTCTCTTCACCCACGTGTCTGAGACATAGGGCTGCAGGTCAGACGACATGATTATAAAATCGACCATAGACCTTTGGCCTAAGGTGGTCTGGTACCAAGTACACTTATAGACCACCCTATGTTCAAACATGGTGTTCTTTATGGACAACCTATGCCAATAACAGAACACCGTTTGGGTTCAGATCAGGTCCACTCCTCCCGATCACCCCACTTGGACAATGAAGTCACCCATCAGAACAAGGGAGTCTCCAGACGGCACCCCTTCCAGGACACCATCCAAAGGCTCCATAAAGGCTGTGTAATCTGATCTGATGTTTGGTGCAGGAGCACCAACAACAGTCAGAACCTTCCCTCCTGCAGCACGAAGCCACAGGGGGGCAACCCTCTCCTTCATCGGGGTGAACTCCAACACCAAGGCACACAGCCGGGGGCTTGTGAGTATCCCAATGCCTCTCTCCCTGGGAAACTTTGGAATAGGAGAGAGTCCAGCCCTCCTCCAGTAGTTGGGTTTAAGAGCCCAAGCTGTTAGTTGAGGTGAGCCCAACTTTATCTAGCTGGTAATGTTCCAGCTCACACACAAGCTCCGGCTCCTGACCTGAGATTACAATCCACATCCCTAGAGCCAGTCTTTGCCACTAGGAATCAGCGTGGCCAGGGCCTCTTCGTCACATGCTTCCCAGCATGCATCACACCCCACCTTGACGGTCCTCCACATGGAGGTGGCCTCCTGTAGTCCTCTGAGCCTCTGAGCTTGCCGGCGAGCTCCCCCCTCACACACACAAGCCTGGTATTCTTGTTCCAGGTGAGGTGTCCTGATGTGGGTGCTGGTCCATTTTATCAAGGGTTTTGAATCGCTCTTATTAGTCTGACCCCTCGCTCAAGACATGTTTAGAATGGAAGACCCTACCAGGAGCTAATGTGCCAGACAGCATAGCCCCTGGGACCACAGGGTTACTCAAACCCCTCCTCCACTTTGAGGTGACGATTCTGCTGAGAGGTCAAATCCCACAATTGAACAAGATAGACTTAATATTCCCTGTGACTTAAAGAAAGATTTAAAAGAAAGAAAACTGAGCACAAAAAGTGTGTTTTTATATAGTATGTGCATTTTGTTACAGAACATGTTACGGCTGCACCAAGTGGATACAATTACTGCCAGTGAGCTGAGGAACATGCAGGAAGTGCTGCTCAGCAAAGAGACAGAGGTCGTCCAATCAGAAAGCACCACCAAAGGACTGACAACAGGTCATTAACAGACTTTTACACAAGAAAATAAAAACACTTTGAGTTACAAATAACAGATTAAGAGATAGAGATTAAGCAAAATTCAGTATTTCAGCAGAAAATAAAAATGCTTAAAAGTTGAATTTTTTTCCTCACCTCACAGAGTCACTGCGTCTGCAGCAAGACCTGGAGAAGGTGCAGCAGCTGGAGGGAAAGATAATATGTGATCTCAGCACCCTGAAGGAACAAATCAGCACTATGGAGTCAGAGCTGCACACCTACAGAGACCTGGAGACCCTGAGGCACACAGCTGAGGAGAAGAAAAAGGTAGCACTGGTTGTGTCAGGGACACAGATAATGTCTTCATGAAGCTTTACTTCAAAATTGACTGACTTTGGGTGCAGAAACTGATGGAGGAACGAACATTGCTGACTCTGCAACAAGCTTCATTCAAGCAGCTGCTGGAGGAGAAGAACCAGATCTACGAAGCTCTGAAGACCAGGCTGCAGGAAAACGAGACTTATGCTCAGGTTAGAACAGTTTAAACCTGAACAGTGTAAAGACATTTTTACTGTAAATTCATCCAGTCATGTTTCAGTCTGTATCTGTGTGGCCTTTTAGCTGGCAAACCTGGAGAGGAAATGGCAGCACTTGGAGCAGAATATCTTCGTGATGAAAGAATGTATCCTTCAGAACTTCCTTGTCAGCTACATTTCACAGATGTCATTTGTTCTCTTATTTGTATAATGTTTCCTTTTCACATTTAAAATGCACATTTCTTGGGTGAGCACACTAACATATTCACATTTATAAAGACTACTGATGAGGGAAATGCTCTTCAAATGACTAATTTGTTTTCAAAGTTTATTTTATTTTCACATTATTCTAATTATACATTAGTCTAACAACTCCAGAGTTTCAGAGGTGTTAATGACAAATTGAAGTTTGATACAGATGCAAACCAGTTATAGTAAAAACACTCAATTCATTTAGCATCACTCACATTTTGAATCAAATAAAATAAGAATAAACTCAAATCATCACCCCTCCTACATCTATTGTATGGAATGTGTTCTTATACTTTTTGATTTTTTTATAGACATGTTGTCAGTTAGGGTTAGTTTTGGTGAAACTGTACATGCTGTACAATATCACCAAAATTGGTGATACTTTTTGGAACAATGAGGGAGAATGGGCCTCATGCAAAAAACGTTCGTACGCACAGATTTGTTCTTAAGTTGTGCGTACGAGTGATTTAGGAGAATTTGTGGCATTCACCAAGTTTCTCATACTGTATTCTAAGATTTTCTTCAGATACGAACAAAATTCAGGAGTGGTCCAGACCTGTCGTATATTTTACCAGCAGTCAGTCTGCTGTTATCCAGACAGGTTTTCTTCACTAATAACTTTATATTTCGTTAGTTTGAAGATATTTAAGTTGAAAATAAATCACACTCCATAATTATGTTGACAATAGGTTATTCTGTTTGAACTGGAATTATAATTTTAAATGTAATGTAGACTGACATAAATTGGTTAAATTAAATTAAATTGGCTATTAATGCTGTTGTATAACACTACAATATTAATATGAAGATCTCAAACTACAAACCAACTTAAATTATGCATTAATTGAAGTTTGGAGACATTTTAAAATGCTGATTTTCAGAACTGCATCTGACACCTGCGACGGCTGGATGGATGGATGGATGGATGGATGGATGGATGGATGGATGGATGGATGGATGGAT